TACGACACCTTCCTCTCATTAGTTGACATAAAAAAATAAAAATAAAAATCTTCAAGAACAGCTCCATTCAACACCATCCATGGGAGTTCTGTTCCTGCTTACGCAACTCTGAACCACAAGGCCAGACTGATGGGTGGTGACAGTAAACATTAGCCTAGCCCTTAATTTCTTAACTGATATGATTGAAACTCCATTTTGGTATTGCTTCGGTAATGTTGCCAAGATTGCTTTTAAAATATGTAATCGCTAATTCATCCATTCCTGGTGTTCCTTTTTAAAAAATTAAATTAAATTAAAAGCTTCCTTTAAAACCCAGAAACCATACCATCAAGTTTGCTTCTATTTCTGACCCTTATTGCGCAGTTGAAATTCATTTGCTCAGACATCCTTGTGGAAGAATCACTTACCTTGCTTCCAGTGCTGAAAGGAGATATTTAATTAAACATCAACTCAGTCAAAATAAAGCCTGGAGCAGTATTCATCTCTGTAAGACATCTCTGCCTAGGTTCTAGCAGCTAAATAGTGCCTCCTCCTATTCAAAGGCTTTTAAGAAATTCAAGTGCTGCTTATTTTAGAAAATTCAAGAGCTGTTTTCTTGGAAACTATTTGAAACCCTTTCCTGAGATTTTGAAATGCCTTAGCTCTAATACAGCATGTGGTTTCAGGAAAAGCATCATCAACACCCCTAGATATCACTGGAACTACTGGGATGCATCAGAGCTATAAATCCCGTGAAACTACTGCAGGAGATATCTAGGACTTTTGTTCTTGATCAAGGCAGAAAGAGCAAGAAAGGAGACAATAAGGTATTTGTCGGTGCTCAGATACGATCAGGGATCTTTAGAACTGAGCGCATGAATCAATTTTGCTAAAGCTCTGAGTTAAGATTCCAGATTCTGATCTTGTATTTTAAGTTTAGGACACCCACTCTGTGCCAGGGACTCATGACACAAATGAGCATCTTGCACTCTAGTGGCGGATTAGAAGTCTGTCCGTAAAGGTGAAGCAAACTGGGAAGATTCTTCACTGTAGAAAAATGTCCACTGTTAAGTTGTGGGTGAACATATCAGACGACACAGCGATTCTTCAAACAGCTCTTGTTTATTCAGAGGCCAGAACAGAACTGAGCTGAAGGGTTCAGTCAGCCTGCTTATATAGAGTTCCAGTACACATAATTGTAACAACTTTCTAAAACTATCCAATCACTGAACGTCACTTTCGATCCCTTATTTGCATAACTATCTGCAGTATCCCCCTGCTGGCCCAGGGTGAGAACTTCAGTACATAACATCCACATTTGCAGAAAATTGGACAAGGGAAAAAGAGGAAACGCCTCGCCACAAAAGAGGATGCAGGATTGCACAAAATCTGCATGTGCTAATTTATAACTATAGAAGCAAGTTTAGAAATGATTAAAAGGTAAAGGTAAAGGGACCCCTGATCATTAGGTCCAGTCGCGGACGACTCTGGTGTTGCAGCGCTCATCTCGCTTTATTGGCCGAGGGAGCCGGCGTACAGCTTCCAGGTCATGTGGCCAGCATGACTAAGCCGCTTCTGGCGAACCAGAGCAGCACACGGAAACGCCGTTTGCCTTCCTGCCGGAGCGGTACCTATTTATCTACTTGCACTTTGACGTGCTTTCGAACTGCTAGGTTGGCAGGAGCAGGGACCAAGCAACGGGAGCTCACCCCGTCGCGGGGATTTGAACCACGACCTTCTGATTGGCAAGTCCTAGGCTCTGTGGTTTAACCCACAGCACCACCCCTTAGAAATGATTACCGTAGTTCAAATAGAAATGTGGTACGTCTCACTGCAGTGAGGAAGACGGTCGCCACGTGACCTGCTCAGCCTGCGATTGAGGCACTAACTGGTGCTGGGCAATGCCAAGGCTCCACTGCCCCTTCTTGCAGTGGTCTTAAACTGAACATGGACTGGACAGGCTTCAAACAGAGGACTGTCCCCTGTAAAATGGGATACATGCAACACCAAGCAGGAGCTAATTGGACTGCCATAATTGGTGTTGCTGCTTGAATAAGTCAAGGTGGCAGGAGTGTTATCACACCATGGGTGCCCTGGCCCGTGGGTGCCATGCAGTGTGCATGGCCCTGCCACCAAAATTTGTGGGTGCCTGACTCCTTCATAGGGAATTTTGTGGGTGCTTGGGTACCCAGGGCCCCAGGGAGTTGGTCTCAGGGATATGGGGGGGGCTCAGGCTATGAATGGCTATAAAATTTCAAAAAGGGCCTGAAAGCACATGGGCAACCAGCCAGTATAATATAGGTTTATCTGTTAGGATCATGCCTGGCCATACCAGACTCCGTCTGAGTTGGTATTTGAACATAGGTCTCTCCAATGCAAGTCTGTATTGCTCCCAAAATGGCAAAGTGGTGTGTCACGCATGTTCTCTTGGATGTGGTAGCCCTCCAACAGCATGTCTGAGACCAGCCAGTCTTCAGGCTGAGGATGAGGTATCCAAAGAGAGGGTCACATGCCCACTGCTTGATCCTCAAATGAAGGAGGTAGCAACCCTCTCCCTTCCTAATCTGAGGTACAACACAGGGGGAATATTCTTTGCTTCCTCCCAGATCAGGCTGGGAGATGTCTTTGAGCCCCCACTCCATGCTAATGTGGTAAAACATCCTACTCTGTGGTCATCTCTGGTCACAACTGATGGTAAAGTGCTGACAAAAATATTAGATTACTCATTGGTTTGATCCAGCAAAGTCATTCTTGTGCTCCTCTGTCCAGAGGTCAAGTTGCACCAGTGCTATTTTTCTAGAAAAAGAGGTGTCTTGTTCACTTATAATGGCAATGGCACCCACCTGAGAGGTGCAGGAACTGAGTTCCTGTGAGTTTCAGCTGAGAAAAGCCATGAGTTGTACCTTGGTGTATGTTAAACCCAAGTGTAGTGGGGGCCACCCTCCCGGCATCAGCTTTACTGCTGCTCATATGGTAAAAGGTAAAAGACCCCTGGATGATTAAGTCCAGTCAAAGTCGACTATGGGGCTGAAGCGCTCATCTGGCTTTCAGGCCGAGGGAGCCGGCATTTGGGTCATGTGGGCCAGCATGTGGCCAGCATGACTAAACTGCTTCTGGCACAACGGAACACCATGACGGAAACCAGATTGTATGGAAACGCTATTTACTCATATGAACAAGGATGGGCTTGGTGCAAAGTTGGGGCCTTGTAGTTGCTGTATCAGCACTCTAGCAATGGCAACCTCATTGGTGCAACCATAACAATAATAATAATTTATAATAATTTATTATTTGTACCCCGCCCATCTGGCTGGGTCTCCCCAGCCACTCTGGGCAGCTTCCAACAAAGATTAAAAATACATTAAAATGTCACACATTAAAAACTTCCCTGAACAGGGCTGCCTTCCAATGTCTTCTAAATGACAGGTAGTTGTTTATTTCCTTGACATCTGATGGGAGGGTGTTCCACAGGGCAGGTGCCACTACCGAGAAGGCCCTCTGCCTGGTTCTCTGTAGCCTTGCTTCTCACAGTGAGGGAACTGCCAGAAGGCCCTCGGCGCTGGACCTCAGTGTCCGGGCAGAATGATGGAGGTGGAGATGCTCCTTCAGGTATACTGGGCTGAGGCCGTTTAGGGCTTTAAAGGTCAGCACCAACACTTTGAATTGTGCTCGGAAACGTACCATGCAGCTCCAACCTTGCTACTGCTCTGCTTCAGCCTGTTGAAGATGCGGCAGTGACCCCAGAGTCAGGCAGCCAGATCCACCCCAGCTCCACATATGCTGCTGCTGGAGACATGCCTTAGATATCAGGTTACCAGCCCAGCATCCTTAGATGCAGTGATCTTTGCACCAACCACCCTTCCATTTTCTGTATTTACCAGGCACTTAAACAAAAGGAGCTCCCGAGGCAATGCAATGACTCACAAGGAAGTCAGTTTAGCTACAGTGAATTAAAGCCTCATAATAAGTCCATTGAACTGTGATGACAGCTGCAGCTGGAAAGTGTTATAACATGTGTGCCCAGAGAGCCGCTGCAAAACAGGGCAGGAGGAGAAAGGAATGAAAACACAAGTCTTAGGGAGTCAAGGCAGGTTAAAGTTTCAATGGCAAGAAAGAGAAGCAATGCGGAATAAAGGGAATGAGAGAATATGTGAGGCAGAGTGAGTGGTTTGTTTAGACCAGTGTTTCCCAAACTTGGGTCTTCAGTTCCCATCCCCCCTCACCACTGGTCTTCCTAGCTAGGGATGGTGGGAGTTGTAGTCCTGAAACAGCTGGAGACCCAAAGTTTAGGAAAAACTGGTTTAGGCCAATAATAGGGGATCTGTCCTCTCCCCTCTTTTGCTAGTGATTCAGATCTTGAGGTGATGAGCTAAAAGCGTAAGAATCGCATTGCTGCATCAGATGAAAGGCCCATCAAATCCAGCATTCTGTTCTCCCAGTGGCCAATCAGATGTCCACAGGAAGCAAACAGGCAGGACATGGTTGCAACAGCCCTCTCCCAACTGGTGAGCCCTAGCAACTGGTATTTAGAGACATACTGTATCCAACAGTGCAGGGTTTCCCAAACATGGGTCTCCAGATGTTGTTGGACTACTAGCATCCCTAGCTTGCAGGACCAGTGTCAGGGATGAAGGGCCAAAAACAGCTGGAGACCCAAGTTTGGGAAACCTTGCAACGGTGGAAGTGGAACAATAGCCACCATGGCTAGTAGCCACTCTTCCTCTATGAATTTGTCTCTAACCTTCTTTTAATTCCATCGGAGTTGGTGGCCATGACTACCTATTGTCAGAGCAAGTTGCGTAGTTTAACTACATGCTGCGTGAAGGGAGTCCTTTCTTTCACCTGACCTGAATCTTTGAACGTTCAGCTTCCTTGATGTCTGTCCCTGGGTTCTAGAATCACAAGAGAGGAAGGGAAAGGAAAAAAAATTCTCTTTCTGTTTCCTCTGCTTTTAAATCGGTGGCTGACTGAAGTCAGAGAAAGGGTTTCCCACTTGAAAGATTCAGCTGCAACTCTACTCAGCCTGGATAGCTCAGTTGGTTTGAGTGTGGTGCTGATAATGTCAAGGTCGCGGGTTCGATTCCTGTATGAGATAGCATTGCAGGGGGTTGGACTAGATGGCTCTCAAGGTCCCTTCCAACTCTATGATTCTACTAGCTATGATGGCTTATGTACACTGCCTCCAATATCAGAGGCGGTATGCTCTTATATTCTTCTGCATGAGTCCATTCAGACATAAGCCTGAGTCCCTTCGGGTTCAAAGGGACTTGTTCCTAGGTAAGCGAGTTTAGGATCACAGCCTTAGGCAGTATATTAACCTGCCAATTTCTTTCCTTCTCTTGGAGACACCCCTGAATTTTGTAACACCTTCACGGGAGGTGTGGAGTTGCGGTGATAGGAGAAGCTCCCTCTGCTGAAATGCTTCTTTCCTCCCAAAAAATTATCCTGAGAAGCCAGGAGCTCTTTTCCATGCCAAAACCAGCAGCGACGTTTAGCAGAAAGAAACGCTGAGCCTTCAAAGCAGCCAGGAAACCTTCTGACGAATTGTTAGCATACTCCTCTACTAGGGAAAAAAAATTCATCTTGTGCCCCTTAACCCGCTATCCTTTTTTAAAAAATCCTTACATCAGTAAGGCAATGACTCAGTGACAATGAAGAGTACATGCTGCTTAATTTGAGGCCAGCTGACCTTTGCAAGTGAATACCTCGTCCGCTAGGAAAGTGGGAAAATGTAGCTTTAAAAAGGCCAGCAGCGCCATTATGTTGGAGGCATATCAGCAGCGCAACAGGAAGACAAGCCTATTGAACTGATACCCTTATCTCATTTAGAAAAGCCCTTCTCTTAAATGAGGAATTCTAGCAAGAGGGAGAGAGTTCCCTGCCCACCCCCATAGGAATATCTGCTGAATTAATTGCCCTGTTTGTTGGACTTCAGCAAAATGCAGCTCCCCACTCAGGCTGCAGCAAGGGCTAAGTGGTTCTGATAACAAGCTGTTTCTCCCTCACTTCCTATCACCCCGGTGCTTGCATGAAGAAAGCCAGAAATAGCATTACATCTGGAAATTCCTGAACGAATCATTGGATTAATTCCTTAGAGGAGCCTGGTACGACACCTCCAGTCTGTCTGCTAGCACTTGGTGAATCAATATATCCTGCTATTGCCATCAGCAAAATTTCTGTTATTCACATAATTAGCTTTTACACTGCAAACAAGTTTTAAAAAAGATTCCTTTGAAAGTGAGATGCTTAAAATAGCTGGATTTGCACTCCCATCATCTGGCCAAATTGAGTATCTCTGTACAGTTGAAAAGTAGACGGTTAACAGGTAAATCGGATTGGTTATAATCAATGACATTATTTCCAAGGGTTGCTGTGCAGAGAATTGCATAGATGTAAAAAGATTTTCTTCAACATTTGGCTTTTTTGTTTTTGTTTGCTAACCCAAACCACAGTCAGTTGTGACACCAACAAAACCCCTTCCCAGTTTCCAGTAAGTTAACATCACTTTCCTAGTTCAGGGGGTGTTGATTTCAGTCAGGTAAGCCACTGTTTCCTGTGATGACCTCTACACACAGTCACACACACACATTCAAATGTCCTTGCTGCCAAGCCTTGACTACCCTTCAGAAGGCTGAAAATCAGGAAGATGTTAAGCTGCAGTGCTGTATCCACTTGGAGAAATGCCCTTGAACCATTGTATCGTATTGTGTTGTTCACAAATCAGAGGAATATGACAATTAACTGTTGTCTTAAGCTGCTGAGTCCTCTTTCTCCTTCCTAGTTGGCTACTATGGTGCAGTTTTCTTGTTTTTCTCTGTGTCAAGAGCACTAGTTTTGAGCTACCAGATGGAGCAATTTAAATAGTCTAACAGGGGAGCCTCTTGAAAGTACCCAGGCCCATAATTAACCTCGTTAGAGGAGGGGGGAAGCATTGTCCCCTTCCATTCCTTATAAAAACATCCACTATCCCATTGCCAAGTAGGAACAATGCTTAATTGTTTGATTTTGCCTTTCACAGTAGATATTTGCCTCGATCCAAAGCACACCTGTGCTGACGGAGATGAATCGACTTTGGTGGGTCATGCCAGCACAAGCTGCTAGGACTGCCATTTGTGTGTGTGCTTATAAAGCAGTTACAGCATCTGGTTATTCTTTTTCCAATAGCAAAGCCTAAGTGTATGGCAAAAGGGCGGCAGTTGAGTCAAGCAATTGAAATTAGTCAACTGTAGCTTTGTGATTATGTTAAATTAAAGGGAAGCCAAAACCCAATATGTCTTTTATTACAGCCTGGAGCTAGTTTACTTCAGATTATGAAGGCGTGCAAAGGAGGCAGCCTGTCATTTTGGAACTTGCTAGAACTCTTTGCCACATAGGCCTCCCCTGAGGTGGCAAACCAGCATCTGGGCAATACAACTCCAGACTGCAGGTAAATTCTCCTACATACGAAAACAAAAGAAAAGCAAAAACAAACCTTACTAAGGCACCCATGAGACAAAATGAGGCAATCACCTCAGGCAGCAGGATCCTCAGGAGCTGCAGATCAGAGTGGAGGTCTTTATTCCCCATTTGTTCCTGGTGTCGCTCTTCGCTCCCCACTTCTTCCCTGGAGGGGAAGGGGGCGCCATTTTGTGGTTCGCCTCAGGTGCCAAAATGTCTTTGGCCCAGCCCTGAACCTTACATATAAAACAAACTAACAGATTGCAAGCAGGAGGCGGGGGCAGGGAGAGCTCAGTAGCCTTTCCCCTCAAACACTAGTTTCCTCTTACAATGTGATAAAGGTAAAGGTAAAGGGACCCCTGACCATTAGATCCAGTCGTGGCCGACTCTGGGGTTGCAGCGCTCATCTCACTTTATTGGCTGAGGGAGCCGGCGTACAGCTTCCGGGTCATGTGGCCAGCATGACTAAGCCGCTTCTGGTGAACCAGAGCAGCGCACAGAAATGCCGTTTACCTTCCCGCTGGAGCAGTACCTACCGTATTTTTTGTTCCATAAGACGCACCTTTTCCCTCTTAAAATCTAAGCGGAAATGTCTGTGCGTCTCATGGAGCGAATGTGTGGTCCCTGGGGCTGGGTGGGGGGAACCCGGGCTTCCCTAGCCAGCCACGACAAGCTCTGGGAGCAGTGGGAAGGCTGCGTGCCGGTGAGGGGCTGGCGGTGAGGGAAGCTCAGCTGAAGCCTGGAGAGCAAGAGGGGTTGGTGCGCACCGACCCCTCTCGCTCTCCAGGCTTCAAAGATAGCTGCCTGAAGCCTCCGGAGCTCAGCGGGAGCTCCAGCTGTGCTCCGGAGGCTTCAGGTTCCTTTCGCAGAAGGGTAGGTGCCCCTTCAGCTAAGGCGCAGTGCCCCTTCAGCTAAATGGGAGGAGAAATGGAAGGGGCTCCGTTTCTCCTGCCGCTTCGATGAAAGGGCGCTGCGCAGAGAGGGGGAGATTTTTTTTTCTTGTTCTCCCCCTCTAAAACAAGGTGCGTCCTATGTTCGGGTGCATCCTATAGAGCGAAAAATACGGTATTTATCTACTTGCACTTTGCCGCCTTTGACCAATCTGTCTTCCTGCCATCTATAGTAAGCCGGAGTGTATTTTTGCTCCAACAGCAAGGAGGAGAGGAGTCGGGTGAAGGAACCAAAAGATCTGTGAAGCAGTAAAAGCAGTCTACAGTGGTACCTTGGGTTAAGAACTTAATTTGTTCCAGAGGTTCATTCTTAACCTGAAACTGTTCTTAACCTGAGGCACCACTTTAGCTAATGGGGCCTCCTGCCGCGCGATTTCTGTTCTCATCCTGAAGCAAAGTTCTTAACCCGAGGCACTATTTCTGGGTTAGCAGAGTCTGTAACCTGAAGCGTATGTAACCTGAAGCGTATGTAACCCGAGGTACCGCTGTACTGCGTATTCTTTTGTTGACACAGAGGCTTTTGAAAAAAAAACTATTCGTGTTTTAAGAACTGGTGAGCTTTCATGCATAGACATAAACTACTGACTGCTTACAACCAGACTGAAGGAAAGTCTTATTCCAAAGTCAATGATGTCCACAACTCTGGTCCTTATGGACACATCCTGGCATTGATTTTCAGTCAAGGCTTATGCCTGGCAGTTACAAATGGATCAAGTGAGAAAGGGAAGGTCGGAGGTTTCTGTAACCGTTTCCACTTGTGATTTGTTGCAGTTTCTTGGTCTGAGTTGCATACGACAGTGCCTGACAGAATCAGAAAACCATTACCAAACTATAAAAATGGGATGCATTGCTCCTTGGAGAACTAATGGATGTCCATAGAGCAGTGAGCAATTGCCCTTGATATGGGCCGTGCAGTGTGTGTTCTGTGATTAGAGACACTGTACAGAACTGGCAACGCGGGTGAAAGAAACTGGCTACCTAGTCTGTCTCCACTAATGCCAGTGCTACACAGCACAAAAATCCATGTTTGAAGGTCCTGCTTGTGTGCTTTCCACAGACATCTGGTTGACTGTTGGGAAAATAGGATGCTGGACTAGATGGGACATTGGCCTGATTCACCAGACTCCTGCATTCTTACATGCCTAGAACTGGTAATTCCAAAGTTTTAGCATTTGGGGCTTAATACCCTGAGCTCTGGAAGGACAGATCCTGAAGCTGAGGCGCCAGTACTTTGGCCACTTCATGAGAAGAGAAAACTCCCTGGAAAAGACCCTGATGTTGGGAAAGATGGAGGGCACAAGGAGAAGGAGACGACAGAGGACGAGATGGCTGGACAGTGTTCTTGAAGCTACCAGCATGAGTTTGACCAAACTGTGGGAGGCAGTGGAAGACAGGAGTGCCTGGCGTGCCCTGGTCCATGGGGTCACGAAGAGTCGGACACAACTAAACAACAACAACAAAACAACCCTGAGCTCCTTGAATTCATAAAGACCTTGAGCCATTGTATACAGCACTGTGCACGGCACATAATCTGAAATCCCCCAAACAACCTAAACAGCAGTGTGTGTGGTTTCAGTGAAGCCTCTCACAGGCTAACAATAATTTTGCAATATCTATTTGTTTGCAGGTATACAGTTGAGCAGGAGGGAAACAGACACATGCTCAGACCGAACAGTGTGATTGTTTAACATAACACTAATTCCCCCCC